ATAGGCTAGGAACCCAAGAGATGGTTCTATGGGATTCTCTTACGTTCACTACATGATTAGCAAGCTAGTTGTGGGTCGCACTTGATTTCTAATACATTTACCAAGCCTGGTTAGTCATGGAAAGTCATGGAAAATGAGAGAACTACACTCCTTTGGCATAAATAGGATTGCCCTTTCCTTAAGAAAGGGCAAGCAGACAATACAGTAAATCGACTAGCACATACTTCTACGTATTTTCCAAGCTTCCAAGCATTGATCTTGTTATTCTCTGTTTTTGAAAAGTCAGTGAGGTGCTAACCTCTGACTTACCCCTGAGTTCTCAGACTCAACATTTGTTGCAACTTGTCTAAACCACTTCACCACATCATACACCTGATTGCTGCGTTGTGGAATAGTCTAAGCTACAACCCTTTGGCTCTGTTTCCTAAGACAGTGTGTTGTCTTAGTAAATTCATCCCTTCCTTGGGTGGCTAGATTCTCATATCTGGTGCACCCACCATTACACTCTTTCTCTCAACCCTTCGCTCTTCGATTTCAATTTTCCGTTGTTGCACCTGTAGCTGCTTTACTACTTGCTTTGATTCCTTTGCTACTCTTGCCTCTGCCTTTGCTTGTAATTTTGCTTCCTTCTCCTCACGTAACAGTCGGGCGTCTGATGCATATAACTGCCCCCCCTTCTGTAGCGATTTCTGTGCCCTTGCCTTTGCTGTTTTCTGCTCTGCTGACCGTAAGGTAACAATGTCAAGCTCGGTCTTATAGAGCTCAGCCCGATGTAAAACAACTGTAGTTCCACGTGCAAATGATTGAAACCCTTCTCTTGACGGTGATGAGAAAGCTGCCTCTACTCTCTTCTGCCAATGTTTAACTGCCTGTATAGTTTGCACACTAGTTTTTGGAGTTGAGATAAGGTCGTACAAAGCAAATGGCTCATAGTCTGGTGTTTGATTCCGGGTCTCTTGTATTTTATCAATTACTAGTGGAGGATTATATGGATATAGTCCTGCATTTCTCCAACCTGATTGAATTGTCCGGACAGTTAAGGATTGCCGTCGGATTTGTGGAAGGTTGGAAAGGAACGTACGTAGCTTATACTCATAGTCATAGCTACGTACTGCTTGATCAAGTGCCTTTTGATGCACTGCTTAAAAACTGCTACATCAAGAGGTTGTAGTAGATGCGTAGTATGAGCAGGAAGGCAGCAAATAACAACGTTATGCTCTTCTGCTAATGTGAGAAAGCGCTCCTTTTTATGAGGGTCATGGCCGTCGAGTAATAGGAGGCGGGTGTCGTCTGGTGCCATATGCTCTGCAGATAGTTGAATAAAATGCATGAGGTATTGAATTGCAATGTCGTCGTTTGAATACCCACTCTCATTAACGATAACAAGAGCATTTGGCTCAAGGTTATCATTATACCATGAGTCCATATGAAGTTTCCCCGGAATGATAATGTACCACTTGCATTTACTCCCTCAATCACAGTAACAGAGAGCCGATTCTCAGGATTATCAACAGTCCATTGCTTTACGCCAATCGGCACAATAACAGCTGTAGATTTATAACATCCAATCATGTTGTTACGATATCAAGTGTGCCTTGCAGCTCGAGTGGGGGTTCAGGGGTGTGGGGAGCTTTCCGGGGTTGGAGCGAAGTTCTCAGTCGTGGAGTGAATTCTCAGAACTGGTCTCGCTAAAGAGAATTCACTCCACAACAACATAGCTGTATATAGATCGAGCCACTGCTCGAGTGCTCCTCTTCTCTTTCCTTTCTTCTCTAGATTGAGTTTAATTCATAATACCCAACTGGCGCCCTATGCCTTGGCGAACCGTGACACATGTAGCCAGTCTCGTCAACATTCCATAAGTTATATGGCTTAATGTTGTGTTTTGTAATAAGTGCGTTATATGTAAGGAAAAATTCCTCAAACACCTCTTTCTTTTGTGCCTGCTTTCTATGCGTATTTAAAGTCTTCGTATGAATCGAGTGGAATTCAAGGTGTGCCTTAAGGAAGCGTTGTAACCACCGTTGCGATGGGATCGTACGATCGGGTCGCAAGTCTGCAACAGCCCGTAAAACCATTGATCGGTTTGCAGGGACCCCACGCTTAAGTTGGTCATATATAAATTGACAAACTGCAGTATCTTGTTCTTGAGAGAAAACTCGGTTTTGACCCCCACGGGGAAGGAGAGGGGTAGTAATGTGTCGTCGGAGTGTCTCACGGTTGACATTAAACTTGCGGGCAACCCAAGTAATTGTATAAGTATCTGGTTGTTTCAAGTAGAACTGCCGGGCCTCAATAAGACGGTCAGCTCGACTTGGATCGCTATTCAAAGGCATCGTAGAGGGTTGTTGTTACGACAAATATTATTATTTCATCTATGTATCAAAGTGGCGGTGTACATGCACATATCGCTGTCGCGTGCACAGATCGCTGTCGCCACCTACGAGCGAAGCGAGTGGATGGAACACCGAGTAATATTAATATATTCCTGTCAAAAAGTATGCACCAACAATCATCGCCCTTCTTCATTTCGTTCAGACCGCAAATTATAGACACATTCACGTCTACGGCGGTTTTGCGCATACTTATATTAACTGCTCATGTTTTGCGCTTATTCAACTTGACTGCAGTCAAGTTGCCTTTCTTCGATCAGACCGCAAAAGTAGCTGGTTCCTTACCATTCGCCCCTCCTCCCATTCCATCCATCCCCTTCTATTCTACCAGCTACCCCAACTGGTCCTTGCCCAGCCCGTTTGTCCAACCTGTTATAATTTTGGAATGTTACCTCTGGTCAATCCTCCAGAAGGGCAACTGTCGATCTCGGGTAAGTGCAAAAGCCGCGTTACCCCGAGAGGACACGGGATGGCTCGTAATATGCCGAGATATAGCCCGCAGCCCAAGATTAATCGCCAGGGAAGGACGGAAGGGCCTCAGATGAGACAACGATCATGCGGTGCACCGCAATAGCATGATCGGTTCGATGACTGGCATGATCGGTTTAAGCCAAACTCGCGTTGGCCTCGGCAAGGACGTGTCACCATCTCGGCATCGAGTCTCAGTATCACATACGACCACAACATGTGCCGCTGTGGCTACTCGCGAGTTGTAATGAGACCTGTGAACTGTTAGAACGGGATCGCATGAAACAGCCAGGAACGTAGACATAAACGCATGGATGCATGATGCAAACCACTGCTGCCACTGCTCGACTTTTTATTATCCTGCCGGACACAACATCGTGACCCCCTTTTGCCCCTGACTAGAATGGACTCGCTGACCCAAGCTCATCGCCCATAGGCTCAGGGTGAGGATAATAAAGCTGCAACTGTAAGTCGGAGACTTCTGTCCAACATAGGTCCGGCAGATCATCCACTCGGCCAAATTCCCTCAACACTGGCAGCTGTCTCCCAAAGAAGGCAGGTGCAGGCGGCTCGTCTCTCGGACAATACTGCAGCTCTTGCTGTGCCAACCCTCGCACTGAAGCAATGTCCCCGGTGCTCTGGTAACGATCCGAGAGACCGCCTCATGTGATATATGAGGAGCGTCGACGGCTCAACGACCGGGGATGGATGACCAGGGCACTGCTTCTGTCGTGACAGAGGCACATTGCATTCCATACCCTACTGTAAGAGCACCTCGCAATCTTCCGTCAGCATGGTAGACAGCGCGACTGGCTGCAGACGAGGCCGCCATAAACCAATATACCTGCTCTGATGCACATTCCAGCCGCGGCCGTGACGGCATGTGGCTTCCTATAATTCAGTATTACTTACATTAGTTGATACGTGTAACATCGAGTATCCAATAGAGGCAACAGATTCAATAGATTCAATAGATCCAATAGATGCAATAGATGCAAATTCAATAGATTCAATAGATTCAACAGATTCAATAGATTCAATATTCAATATTCAATAGATTCAATAGATCCAATAGATACGATGCGTCGTCGCTGTAAGACGCCGTTGAGGCGTCGTTGGACCCCTGGCTGGGATGGCTGAGAGACTCATCTGGCACATCTTTTTGGTCCTTTTTAGATCTTTTTAGATCTTTTTATTTTTAGATCTTTTAGATTTTTTTTGGTCCCTTGGTCCCCCAAATTAGGGAATTGTACGATGTACTCTACTTACTAAACTGTACTGATATATATGTACATAAACCATCACATGATCAATGTATGCTTCAGCCCATGTTCTCGACGCAACAATCGAACAAATCCACAATGTCCCTTGTTAATACTCCAGGGCAATTGCATCTCAACGTTCCTCATCACCTGCACCACAACCCCTCCGACACTTTCTGCACTTGCCTTCGCTGGCGACGTGCATCTTTACATTGTAATAGCAGCAGTAGCACTGGCGGCATTGCGCCTACCTCTGTCCCCCTTGCTGAACCCGAATGCGCCCCAGCGGCAGCCTTGCTCGCTCCTGCTATTTTAACGATTGTTACCGTCATACAACTTCCACGAGATTGCGAACAGTGACAAATACCACCACACCCGAGAGCCCTGGATTTCCCTATACCCTCATATGCTTCTCTCGAACCGACATAATTCGGTACCGCGACCTCGTTCCCTTCGCTCTCTCCTCTTCCGCACACGCACATCCTGTGCCCGATATTCCAAATACCAATCATCCTTCCATAGCTTCGGTTGAACGAACAACATCGCCCTCTGGCGCTTATAAAGGAAGTCAGTCAGACCTGATACCGTGACCCTGCGAGGCACTTGACAAGGTATGCGCTGTGTCCTTCTATATCCAGGCTGCATATTCGAAGTTGCCAAGTAGTCTCTCCCAGCCGGGCAGTCATTCCCATCCCATCCCAGCCCTATTCCCATACCCCCCATATTCCCCATATATTCCCTTTTCGCTGCTTCTGTCGCATTGCTAGACGGCATGACTGACCCTGAAGCGTTACGACAGCTATATGCGAAGCAGATCATCCTGCTGAGCGAGATATATAAATCGACCATACCTCCCATCGGAGTGTTCCCAGGCGGCATGGAGATGCAGGCAGATCAATATGCGAACCCCTCAGGCGGTAGCGGCTATGGGAGCAGCGAGCAGTCAGAGAGCGGAAAGAGTCCCCTGTCGATGAGCTTGGGCTTTCTCAAGACCCTTACGGAGAAGAAGAGCACTCGTGGTGAGCCGAATGACAAGTTAATGCATACCTCTGCTAAGCCCACCCTAGTTGATGGACAGCCGTCCAAGCGCCGCGGCCCGAAACCTGACAGCAAGCCTGCCTTGACCCGACGTCAGGAACTAAATCGACAAGCACAAAGGCACGACCCCTCCCGACCCCGCCCTCACCCCGCTAACAGACCCTAGAACCCACCGCGAGCGGAAAGAACTTTACATCAAAGCGCTCGAGCAAGAAGTGCTCCGCCTAAAGCAGAATTTTTCTACCGTTGCCCGTAGCAAAGACACCCTTGCCGAAGAGAACCGTCAACTCCGGAACCTCCTGGCCGCGCACGGCATCCCATGGACTGGCAGCGGCGGCGTTGACGAGCTCGCCGCCACGGGTGGTAGCACATCCTACCCCTCGTCGGGCTCCTTCTCCGGCTCCTACCCCTCCTCTGTCTCGCCCACCCCACAGTACAGCACCAACACTGGCAACAACGGGGCGCTCCTTGCCCCGCCGCTCCCCCAGACCCCTCACACCCACCATCCTACAGCCGCGCAGGGCCTAGACCTCGACCAGGCCGGCATAGACTTCGTGCTCACGTATGCGCCCGACCCCCGCCCGCCCTACCTGACCCCTCCCCGCTGATGGCCGGGCCGTGTGCACACAAGCTAACCTTGTGTGTACACAGGCTCGAGCGACCGTGCATGGATCATTTACAGTTTCTGGTCGAGTTATCGTCGACGCCCTCCGGCATGCCTTGCGGACACGCGCTCATGGCGACATGCCCCCCCGTCCCGCACCCGGCTGATGAAATGCCCTGGGGCCATGGGATAGCGAGGCTGCCGCACGAGGAGCTGAAGACGTGGGATCTGCAGAAGGGCGATCTGGCGAATTTGTTAGATTTGAGCATGAGGCTTAACCTAGATGGGGAGATCACGCCTGTTATGTCGTGGGGGATGGTGTTGGGGCATCCGAGGTTTGGGGAGTTGGGGGCTAGGGAGTTGGGGATGGTTGTTGAGGAGTTGAGGCCCAAGGTTCGGTGCTATGGGTGAGTTTATTTGCGTGTCTGGGGTGTGGGATGTGGGCTAACTGGGCTACAGGTTCGGCGCTGTGCTTGAGGAGTTTGAGGTCCGGGACGCGATGGAGAATATGTTCTCGACGCTGTGATTTTGCACAGCCATCTCGCTATAGGGAGACCGCGGCAGGACTGGGGGATCTGTCTCCCCCTCCATCTTACGGCGTGGCAGCCTGGCATCGGCGTTCTTTCTTTATTATTCTGCAGGCGGAAGGGGAAGAGGCAACGGGGACAGGGGTTTTAAGAGGTTGGGTTGCGGGGTGGGGCAGGTGGTGGTTAGATGTTCACGGAAGTTTTGTTGTTTGTGTGCTATCTATATCCTATGTGGTTGATTACATCTACAGCCGGTTTTATTAAAAAGTATAGTAATGAGAATATGTCTGTTTGTACGTTCATTATGATGTCTGGTCAGTGTGTGGTTTGATCTGAATGCTGGACAGGCTGGTGTCTTCTCATGCTGTATCGTCTTGAGTACTCTGATGATCCTCTGCCATCCTGTCTCGAGTCAGAGATACACATCACCTGCTTCACATCCACTCCACACGACCACGAGTGTAAAATACCCTAGATATCGTGTCTAGCAGCGTATCGTGAGTGACCGAGCCCCTCGGTCCACGCACACAGGCGGGAAGAAAGATTATTCCAGTGATTTAAGGGTATGCATGCACCAACGCCACTCCTCTCGCTATGTATCCAGCACATACCACAATGCGCCCCTCATCTCACCAGTCGGTGTGCATCGCACCATAGACCTTCACTAAAACGAGCGCGCACAGAGTGGCTGGCACTCTACATAAATGGCCAGTAAATCTTCAGGACTCAGATAGGGTCCACCGCTCTTGGTAGTTGACGTCCCACAAACAAATAGAGCAACAAGACTCAGATAATGTTCTACATAAATGGCCAGTAAATTCATCAACGCAGATACCGTCCGCCGCTCTTGGCAGTCGACATCACACAAACAAATACAGCAATAATTAGGGACTGGGCTGACGCAAATCCAAGGGGGATTGCGAGGAGTACCACCATGAAAGTTTTGAGGAAATGCATATTTGGTTAAGGCAAGTAGTTAAATGCTATATCCAATAGAGTATTGTTGAATATTGGACTGAACACTAGAAGGCACTTCAAAACGACTTCAGCAGAATATGCAGAGAGCAGTCGAAGCGCCATCCCTTGACAACTTTATATAGACAGTAGACCTCAGCTATTGTCGTAACTACAAGACCAATATCAAAATATCAGTTTAAGACTCAGCTCGGTTCTAAAGAATTTGTTGGCTGTAATCCATGTAGGACAGTATCGCAGTTGTTAGTATTGACTACCCAGCACTCTTTAAATGAGAAATGAGGTTAATAAATCTCATCATAGGGCACCACCAGTGTTCCAAGTAGTCTAGTCATCAAAATTAGGGCGTCATAAACGGACTTTATGGATTTGGCAACATGATAGGAATCCTTTAGCAACATACTAACAAAATGGGCACTTAATGTAGCAATGTTCATATTGTACAAAGCAGTATAGAGAATCAGGGTACTGCGGCTCTAGCGAAACACTTGATGGATTTACACTAAGTGACAGATACTTAGAAACAGTCACAAGTCAAGAACATGTAAATGAGTATCTCTAGTGCTCTGCAAAATGGACTTTGTAATCCTTATAAACCGTGACGAGATGCTGACTTTGATACTCCTACATTTGAACAATTACTTGTCTAGGTCATTTCTAGGTGCTCATTACCATTTTCGATTGTCTAACGCCCTGAATTCCAAGAGTTAATACATTTCTTAAATGTTGACGCTAAAGACTTTGCCTCAAAGCCATAGTACTATGTAGGACTAGACAATACAAAGATACGATCAAGAGAAGATTAAGATTTAACAAGCAATAATCATCACAATCAAAGATTCATTTCACAGTTAACTTATATACATCTCTAAATACAAAATTGGTAATGGGCTTAATTGCACACTATATCATAGAGAATAGAGGGCTTTAACAGTCAGTACTGTAAGGACACAGGGCACCCAGCTCACAGTAATAGCATATAAGAGTGTGAGTCAGAGGCTAAATGGATGCTATCCTATAGGTCTACTACGAAGGATACAAAAAAGATGAAGGGGGAGCCCCATGAGTCAATTCCCTCAAGTACCCGAAACCCATCCGACTCGGTTAGCCCACCCAAATGATCACACGTGACCCCGCAGCTACCCAGAGTCTGCTCCTTAGAATGAGAGACGAGAAGGCATCCTTACAAGTACTATCATTACAAGAGCTAAAAGGGAAACATACTAGTGATAATCAAGCTGGTTTGATTTATATGCTTGAAGAATATGGCATAACGTGCATGTATAACGAAAGTGCCAAACAAGCGAAAGTGCCAAAATATCGCGACTACCCCATAAGAATTGCGATAAATCCACCACAACAATATAAATTAATTAAAACTACTCGGAGTCCTCTTCCTCAGACCTGTCTATTACAATCTGACAAGTGCGCGCATTGTGTCCAGTCTCACCACACTTGCCACAGCGACGTGCATGGGTTTCTTCCCTTGGCTTCCGACCACTACTTGCCCTTATTTCTTGCTCTACTTGCTGCACAACGTCCCTCTCGTCCTGTAGCTCCTGTGCTACCTGTTGACTAAGTGATCCTCCTTGCTGTAGTCATGTTTTTTTAGCTCTCCGGCGCTTGCTTAGCACTTCATTTGCCTGTCGCAGGTTTTGGTTCTCTGCTTTTAACAATGCTAATTGATGCATTATTTGCGATGCACCCTTTGTAAACTGGTCAACAGCTGCATAGATTGAGGTTGGAGAGCTATTTTGATGATGCGCAATTCAGTTTTTAATGAAAGTAGACTGTGATACAGCTTCAGTTGGGTTATTTGGTGTCTGAGAAACCCATAGTTGAGCGGTGTTTGGGCGAGAGGTTGGAGGTGTTGGCGTCTTAAACCTAAGGTCAAGTGTAGATATTACACTCTTAGGGCTAAATGGAAGAAGCCCGCACCTCGGAACCCTCCCTGAATATTGCTTTCTGTCATTGCAATGTTAAATGCAGTGTGGAAGGCAGGAAAGAAGTCATCCTTAGTAATGTGAATAATATGAGCCCGCATCATATCTTCAATTTGCCGACCGTAAGCTCTCTTTAATGGGCCAAAACAGCCAACATCAAGTGGTTGGAGTATATGGGAAGAGTGAGCAGGCATACAAAGCGTAATAATGTTGTGTTCTTTGCAGTACTCCTCAAACTTGTCTGAGTGGTGGCTCTCATGACCATCAAGGACTAACAAGCGATAACCACCAACACTCCGGGGCTTTGTGTGCTTCTCAAAATGCTGAATCCAATCCATACCTCTCTCATTTGTAGTCCAGCCATTTGCAGTAACAGCGATTACCCAATCTGCTGGAAATCCGCTATTCTCATACCAAGATGCAAGGTGGTTTTTACCTGCCACAATGACAAATGGCGGCACTGCCCAACCTTGAGAACTAACGCCTTGGATTACTGTAACCCATTCTCGATTGCCAGGCTGCACCTTTTTTGCCTTTGCCCGCCCATCTGAGCTCGTTACAACCGTTGCGCTTGAGATGACGCCCATCATAAACCCAGTCTCATCAAAGTTGTAGATATCTGCATTGTTGATGCCATACTTTAGAATTGTGTTCCATACAAGCTCAAACCAGCCACGAATGACTTCTGGATCTTCGCACTTAGCCCTCTGGTAGTCGTATTTTCGCTGGAAGTGTGTCCGGAGCTCTACATGGCGCTTAACAAAGTTTGAAGCCCAACGTGACCCGACGCGTGGTGCGTCGCGTGTTGCAAGTAGTCGATTTGCCATATCTTCAACAATAGACAACTGAGGAGGGAACCCTTTAGCAGCTAAGTCAAGTATATACTGAACAAGAACTGATTCCTCTAGGTTACTTAATTTCTGTAAGTTGGCTTGGGTATCGCGTCGTGAAGGTACGCCTTGTAAACGGTGACGTAGCTTGCGGTGGTCTACGGAATAGACCCTAGCTGCAACTCGAAGGCGCAAATTTGGGTCGCTTTGCATAGCTTGGATAGCTAGCACTAATTTGCTTTCATCATTTTTATGGCGCATGTTTTGTTGTGGAGGAATTTAACATTTAGTTGGGGGGGTTGGTCACCGCATGATTTTGGCACTTTCGCTTGTTTGGCACTTTCGTTATACATGCACGTTATTGTTAAAGATTAGGTAACTTATTTTATGATAGACAATGCAACAAACAACGGTACTATGATAGCAAGCCTTTCAAAATGCTAGTACTATAATTCAATAGTAAATACTAACATTTATTTATAGTACTCTTTGTTCAAGACATCAAATACAATGCTAAGCACTACCGACTACGATGTAATGGCCATATCATCAACTTATCAGCACAAGCATTCTTATTTCCACATGATGATGTTCTTACTAGTAACAACAACTCGCAAGAAGTATCACAAGAGGAAATAAAAGCATAGAAATAGGGTCGGGGTAAGCAAAGAGCGTTCACAGAAGCAAACGGCATTCGCAAACACCAAAATTTGTCGGTACCACTACATAGTAATTTATATAAAAAGGTACTTAAATTGATCAACTACTCGTAATTCTCATATCTGTCCCACTCAAATGGCCCTCACTCCCACTCCCACTACTACTCTCACTTTCGCTCTTTGTCTCTAGATCTGGAATTGGATCTTGATCCTCTAGAGGAATTGGATTGCCAGCTTTTTGACAGGCTTTTACCCTCTTCTTCTAGAGGCGTTCTTGCTTCTAGGCTTCAACTCCTGCCCTACTCGAAGTAATCATAGACCCTGATATTGAGCGTAGGAGACAGGAGGAAGAGGAGGAGAAGGAGGAGCAGCCTTGGTAGCTCGATGTCTGGGTTACTCCTTTGGAATTCAAGTAATTCCCTTTTCCGTACCCGTTCCGCTCTCCGTGCATCAATGCCAGCACGGAGCTGCAGCTTATACTCAAGGTTAACCATGCGCTTTCTCTCTCTTCTCTCTCTTGCTTCTTCTCTCTCTTGCTCCTTTACTATCTTCGTATGAATCTTCTTCCGTGCTTGTTCAACTGTAACAGCTCCACCCTTTTGAATAGATTTTCTGCTTCTAACTTTCCGTTGTCTTTGCTCAGACATAATAGTAGTAATTTGCATAAGCTCTGAGGTAACCAAAGTACTTTCTGTTAACTGTATTTGAATCTCTGTATAAGAAGATGTCCACTTTTGCCGTGATGGTGAACTAAGAATCTCTTCAAATCTTTGACTCCAATTTGAAAGATCTTGACTTGCTTGGATTGCTTGCCTTGGTGTTTCTAAAAGTGCTGGTTTTGCGTATATTGCCACTTTCTTTTCTATCTTCTCGTAGTTTGGTGGCCAAATACCAGAGTCTCTAAACGCTTTCATACAGTTTCCCTTTGTAAACGTTTGTGTTCGGATTGTAGGTAAGTCTCGGAAGAATGAAATAACATTATAGTCAACATCAAAATTCCGAATTGCTTGTTGAATAGCACGGCGGTGCCAATGCTTATACTGTGCAAATACTGTAACGTCAAGAGGTTGTAGTATATGTGTAAGGTGAGAAGGGAATACATGTAAATGTATGTTGTTTTGATGTGCAAGTATTATAAATTCTGGAACTTCATGAGAAATGTGAGAGTCCATTATAAGCAACTTCGTCTTTGTAGAGGGTGCAGAATGTTGAATAAAATGCTGTAGATATTCCATTGCGAGCTCAGAGTTTGTATATCCTGAATCTGATACTGCAACTCTCTCATCACCGTGTAGATTATCATGGTACCAACTTTCCATATGAAGCTTTCCTTGAATTATTAGGAACGGTGGAAGTACAATGCCAGCAGCTGAAATTGTCTCTATTACTGTGAGACTTTGACGATTCTCTGGAGCTTGTATATAAAGCTATACAAATTAGAATAATATAATGTAAGATGAGTACATATAACGTACCTCCTTTACTGCTGTTGGCACTAACACATGTTCACCGGTGCTCATTCCCACTCGGAACCCAACTTCATCAAAGTTGTAGATGTTAGCTGCAGTAACATCTAATTGATTGCACACATCTTTGAATCCATGAAACCATTCTTTGATAGCTGATACATCATGAGAAGCAACACGTGCTGCTTCAATTGGCCGGGTTTTAATGGTGTGGAGAGTCTCATGTTGAGTCTTAATCCAAGTCTGGAACCACCGTTGAGACGGTGGTGGATGTGTCGGGATTTCAGCTGCTAGTAGTTGGCAGATAGCATTAAACACCATTGGCTTCGTTGCACCGTACCCATTTTCATATGACCGTTGAATGTATCTTTGTATAGCTATAACTTGTATATCTGAAAGTATTCTGTTGTTACCTCCGCGAGGCTTTGGTGGTTGGCGTTGCGCCATGCGTCGCATACGGAGTGTGGTTGGGAGTACATGGTAGATTCTAGCTGCTGCGGCGATAGTCTCCGTTGGGTTCTGATTTAGGAAATCAATTGCTTTTTGAATAGCTTCGTTTCTAGCTATATCAATTGACATGATTGTAACTTTACGTGTCAATTGTTGTCCAGATAGTCGCGTTGTCCTGATGTCGCATTGGACGCGCTCGCGTTTGCCGAGAGAGCAAGGATCGCTTTCGCAGCAAGGATCGCTTTCGCCAACCGCCTCCAGGCGGTGGTTTGGAAACCAACGATTAGTCATTAAAATATTAAGACTTGGGTTTAAAGTGGGGGCCAAAACTTAGCATCTTAATTATAGACCCCAGAATCCCCAAACGCGCCTTGCCTGCTTTCTCTCGCTGTACTCCCGCCTGCAACCCCCCCCTTTTTCCAGAAATATACTCGTACAGGATATACACCAAAAGCAAACCACTTTCTTTTTGATATTCCCTTCCGTCAAAATATCCCCAAAAACAGCCACCACCCAAGAAGTAGAAAGAAGTACTGTACAGTCCCAGCAAGATAAGCATTTTCCCATTTCCCACCGCGAATCTATACAACCGATATCCCCCCACTTAACTCGCCGTTTACAACTGGCGCGCCTAAAAAACATAGAAAAAGAGAGAAGGGGCGGAACTGGATCGAGCCCCTCTCAAACGTATATGGCTACGAGGCGAGTATTTACTTATACCTCAGTGGCCTTTGCGACACCTCCGGCAGCGGTGCCGGATGGTGCGGATCATACTCCTCATAGTACTCGGGATCGTTTCTCGACATCCCGGCGGCGGTGCTGGGCAGCACACCAGCGCCAGCACGCTCATACACCGGCCTCTGTGGCGCTTCTTCATACACCGGCTGTCGCTGATGACGCGGCGGCGGCGGTTCGTCGTACCTATTCACCTCCCCGTACCTCTGCGGCACCTCCTCGTACCGCGGGGCACCATCATACGTATAGATGGGCTCCTGCTCTCTTCGTAGAGACGAGCGCTGCACGACATACTCCCCCTGTGCGTCCGCACGCACATACTCTATCTGTGGTTCGCTCGGGTGTCGCCGCGGCTGCTCGTCGGGATACACGCGGTAATACTCCGGACGGGGCACGCGCTCGTATGCCACCTGCTCCATGGGCTGTTGTGGCTGTGGTGCTCGGTGATGTTCGTATATCGGGTCCTGAGGGGCGTAGTGTCTTCCACCGGGCGTCAGGGCGCGGTATTGGCGGCGCTCTGGGAGGCGGTCCGTGATATACACGGGTGAGTGGGAGCGGGGGACTTCATCATCATAGCGAAGGTTTTCATAGCTGACGTAGCGGGCGCTCTTGCGAGGGTGGGCATCGGGGTTGATAGGGCGCTCATCGCGGTAGATCATCTCGTCCATAACGTAGCGGCGGTCGACCATGTCAGACGTGCGGCGCGCGGCATAATACTGTCGGGGCGCCTCTATGTGGTCTTCATACCCGTAGGGCAAGTACTGGGGCGGCCTCGCACCTGCCGTTTCAGGAATTGGTCGCATATGTGGAGGTGAGAGTGATCTGTTTCGCGTTACCGCTCGCCCATTAATGAGCCGGTACTCTTCGTTGCGCGAGCCATATTGAACTCTTTGAACTGGTTCCATCATGTGTGGCTGCACGCTGCCTTCTCTTCGCTCAGGTGCCCACTGTGCTCTCGCATCTACCCCGTTTAGGTGCTGGCCATTGTCTGGACTCGTTGCTACATCTTCACCAGTACCTGCAGGCAATATATTATCCAGAAACTGCTCTGCGGCAATTTTGGCGTCGGCGGGGACCTCTTTTGCGGCTACGCTTTCACTTGGCGTCAATTGGCTCCTCACCTCCCCATCTTCTGAGCCAGCACCTCTAGTGTCCGGTCTGGGCCGCTGTTGAGCAATTTCGGGTTTCCTGGGGTAATCATACGTAGCAGGAGGACGTGATTCTTCGGCACGGTAGTAGCTATCATCAACTCGCCTCGCATAGCGCTCTTGATACCGAGGAGATGATGGGTTGGCGACCATGCCTACTTTCTCAATCAAGCGCGGTAGGAGGTTCGCTTCTTCATAGTTGTACTCTGGTCGTAAAGGGATATCTTGAAGAGTGGGATTGATAATTCGACTGCGAGCATTCCTAGAGCGTCGACCAACCTCTTCGAGCTGGGGATAGGGTCTAGGTTCTGCCGAATAATCGCTCATACTGTCAACTTGGTAAATTTCTCGTTTAATGCGTTTGTATCCCACGGGAGATGCAACCCTCCGTTCCGTATAGCCCATAGCCGCATTATCATTGCGATCTGGCACCATGTGAGGGGAATCGCCGCCGCGCTGACCAACTGCATGGATTGGCGGACGGCGTGTTTCCAGTGGAGGCGACGGGCTCGTTCGCGAAGGCATAGTATAATACCGCTCATGGTTGTCCTTCGAAGGTGCAAGCTCACGGCTATTCTCTCGGGAAACCCCCATGTCGTATGGCTGAGGCTTTTCTGCTTCCGGCTCAGGAGTGTCAGGTTTGAAGGCATCAGGTAGGGCCTCTTTGATTAGTTGGAGCTTATAATCGTCCATGCCATTAGCATTGGGCAAGTTTCTCATTTTCTTCTTGTCCGGAAGCTCGACCATGTCCTTGGTCCAGTCCAGGCTTGGCGCGCTTGCCTTCGCATTCTCAATGTGAGTTGATTGAAAGTGGTTGAGTAATTGAGGAAAAGAGAAAAGTTTCCTGTCTGCAGCGCTTGTACCTTTGGAAGACACGGTGTGGGGGTTAATTGGCTTGTTCGCTCTTTCAATTGTGCATGTCTTGCAGGCTAGCCCGTTGACATTGCGAACTGGCCTCATGTCCTTATTGTTTTGGAGGCCATCAATGAGCATCTTTAATGGCGGATCGTCTGCGTACTTTTCTCGAGAACGTTGTAGAATGTGGTAGAGAATGGTGTAAACTCTTACGCCACCAGGCATATCCTTAACCCCGGAGGTGCTGCTCCAAAGTCTCTTGGCAATAAGCGCAATATCTTGTAGCTGCGCTTTATACTCTTCGGTCCTATAAACGATAGGAGGGATGTGACTTGGAATTTCAGGAGGTACAGAGTGTTGAGTCTGGACAGACGCCGGCGGCTCGAAATTGGCACCTTGATATACAAGGGTTGCCTGTGACGTATCGTATACCACAGGAGGAGCACCGGAATACGGCGTCTCAAAACCAGAGTATGGATAGGGCTGATAAGCAGCTTCCTGTTGTGCCTGGTATTGCGGACCTGGAAATCCTGGATAGGCCTGGAAAGAAGCTGGAGGTACGTACGTGGCCTGCCCCTGGGCGGTGTATTGGTCCAAAGCATGGTGAGGATCCGCATACTGACCCGGAGTAGAGTTGTAAAAAGGTTGCGAGTTGTGTGGATTCGGCGGTATGGGAGCAACCCCTGTCTGGTACCCACCATGGGTTGACACCGGAGTTGCAGTTAATGCACCATTCATATATGGAGCCACAGATGATGTCGCTGGCACAGTTGCACCCTTTTCGAGGCTTGGTTCTGGATTAAATGGTGGTTCTTCGGGCCACTCGGCCTTCCAGTGAACAATAATACTGCCAGAACTAAGATCGCTCGTATGCTTCGAAGCGTAATGCTGGCAGACCCCTTCGAATGCGTACCATTTGAAATTTTCGCATCCGTTGCAGAGAAAAAGTTCCTTACGATATTGCTCTGTATGTGGTTTGATTTTCATATCAAAAACCCATCTCATGTTCTCCAGGCTGAGTTTCCTAGATCCAACTCCACTTGGCGAATTCGCTCGCAATTCTTGTCCAGTGGCCTTGGATTGTGCATCTTCTTTGGCAATTTCCGCATAAAACCTCTTGCGGACATAGAGAAGAACCTCGGCGGCAAACCTTGGGCTGGTTTCCTTATTGACCCTCTTACCAAATGCCCAGCCATCCCGGATGATTTCATCGGCATAGGCGCCAGTACGAGCTCTGACTATACTTTGTACATCTTCCCATACACGGTCAACGAATTCCTTGGCTTCCCTGGCTTGCCCATCTTGATACAGTCGCTCATCCAACTTCACTCGAACAGCTTGAGTAAGTTCCTCACGGTCGTCTTCCCGCTGTTGGGCATCGGCGCGTTGAGATAACAATCTTGGCTTAAGCATTTCCCATGCGCTATCATTAAACGGCTTGATTATTTGAAGGGCGGCCTGAAAAGAGGCCATGTGTGCCAATACATTTGCTGTGATCGGAGGGTCAAGTAATAGACAGCGGCGTTCTATTTCAGCTCGTCTAGCCGCTTTCAACTTGTCGGCCTCTTCTTTCGTCCGTTCGTGCCTTGTTTGGGGAGGAAATGAACGTGGAAATGGGCCAAACCCAATTTTCGAAGGGGACTCGAATAGCTGTGGTAAAGTTGCTGTTGGAACTTACGTTAGAAAACACTTACAATGTACACTTGGTATGGCTTACGGAATTGGGTCACCTGCGGAAGAAGATGCGTATTCTTGGGGAGCATCCTATGAGTACTTGGAAGATGCTCCTTGGAAAGAACCGGGATTTTTGAAAGTCCAGGTGGTCCATGGCTAGGGTGACAGTCAGGCTGCATGGGCACAGCCGCTGGTAGTCGAAGATCGACCTTTCCATTAGTTCCGTTGACTTCCGTTGGCTCCTTGCTCCGCATACGCTGTAGGCCTCCAGAAGATTCCCACCTTTCCCATCGCACTAGATCGAGGCGTTTGTCCTTTCCACGGGTTTCAAGTCCTTTAATCCACTCTTCGGCAGTTCCCGAGCCTAAAGCTTTCACTCTGAAAAATTCTTGTTTGATATCTTCGACATGGGGTTTGTAGAAGTATTTGCCGATCTGCATGTTTGTAGGCGGTTGGCCTTGCTGCAAGGTTGTTGAGGCAACAACGTGAAGCTCAGCGGTGAGAAATATAAAGGGGAGTGCGGCCATAAGCGGTGATGGCACCGACGAGGATAGGAGGAGATCAATTTCCTGACCGGGGATTAGTGCAAGCTTGGAAAGGAAAGAAATAAAATAGTCATCTACCTTGATAGTTCGGAGCTGCAAACAAGGCCCACAAGCACGAATGGCAAATGCCCAAATAGGACGAACGCCAGCCTCACCAGGACCAGAATGCCACTGATCTGGAGATATAGAACAGACGGGATTTTGTCGTTTATCACAGAAGTCGCAAACAAAATTACAAGAAAGTTTCCACATGCCAAGCTCCGTCATCTCATTCAAAGGATTGGGCATCCAAGGACGAAATAATCTCCTTGAGGCCTGCCAGATAACTTCTGGTTGACGTAGTGGAACTACGCTGCGGGACAAAGGAGCAATAACAGAAGTACTTGCTGGGGACTGAGGATCAAGATATGCCCTAAATCTCTTGTTGACACGCAACAAGCGACCTAGAGTTCTTGGCGACGCAAAAGTGAAGACGTGATGCCAAACTTCTGTGGGTAACAGTGACTTATCGGATGGTAATCGGCCTTCCGGGGTTCGAATGCTTCCAAGAGTCGCATCTGGGGATAATTCCAATTTGACACGCTTCGGATGGCCAGATTCCCTATTTCCCTGTGGTATGTCCTCTGGAGAGTCACTTCTGTCGGATGGGGCCTTGCGTTTCCGCGAGGTGTTCTCTAACGAGGCAGCAATCGGGCTTTGAGTTTTCGAGCCGTGTTTGGCGGGTTCGGGGGCAGGCGCATCCATTTCTTCATCGTCGCTTGAATCCGAATCCTCCGTCTCTGCTGACATCGAAACATCTGACAGCTCGTCTTCATCTATAGCATCCTGGGCTGACATTGTTGGTTATGTGGCACTGGTAACCACCCAGTCGCGGGAAATCGTTTGCAAAAGAGCCTGTGCTTAGGTGCTGTCCAGGTGAGCTATCTTGTTTCCGTCGCGCCTGCCAAATCCGGGGGTGTTAGGAAAAGAGGAACCATGAGAGAAGCGTACTCCCTCAACGTATGTGGTGGCGGAAGCAGAGGAAATAACGGCAGCAGCTGTCAAAGGAATCCTAACCAGCGAAATGGTTACAGATTCCACAAGTGCGGCTTTAGTTTCGCATGGAGCAGTCCTATGGGGTTGTCTGAGACCGAGAGAGATGGTGACGCTGGATGATACCGTCCTGGGGGCACAGAAAGAAAGATATATATTGCGAGACAAGAGAAGAGGAGTACTACGCGTGTAACCTTCTATTGAAGTAAGATTGTGGAGAGAAAGATGGGACTGTGAAGACTGAGAAGGAAGGGAAGAAGAGGAGAGGAAGAGGAGGGAAGGAACGAGTCCACAGTAGAATAGAGGATGTAAAGGTTGAATATGTATCCGGGCGGGTTGTATTGGACTCTTTTGTGCGAAGTGAGGCGGACCAAAGCACCTGAGGCTACTTCTATCTAATCTACCTAATCTACACCTTGCTTGTACCTTTCGAGTAACTTTAGTCTTAGAAGTTCGCCGCACGCTAGTATTGTTTCGGTTAGACTGTTCGTCAGCTGCAATCCAAACGGGCCCTCTCAGCATCATCGCAGTGACGGAGGTGCTGGTCAGGGCCCCAACAAGGCAGGACTTCCAAACTTCCATATACAAACCATTCTTATATTGTTACATCCTACATTCCCTCCACGAATCCTTTCACGCCTCTCATCCCTGGTAGCCTCGGCGGCTGTTACATCAAACCACCTATTCAATTATGGCTTCGCTGAATACCTCGACCAATGGCCCATCAATCCGGTCCAGTTACCAAGGCGTCGTCCAGGCACCCCCTCCAACCGGAGCCGCTGCGAACTCCCCGACTTATGCGCAGTGGGCAATCTTCTCTGTATCTGCGCCTCTCGTAAGTGCCTTTCAGCAGGACTCCGGCTCGAAGGAAAGTGTGTTGAAGGTCCAGGATACTGGAGGTAAGCTTGGGGAGTTCCGGGACTGTCTTAGATTACCTCTTGCTGACATAACGTAAATAGAGGGCGAACTTCAAGATCTCATCGAGGATTTCTCAGAGGGCCGGATACAGTTTGCTTTCGTGAAACTGAAGGACTCGAACTCCGCGTTACCAAAATCTGTCCTCATAGGATGGGTACGAGAACTCAACATTACCCGCACCGTATAAATTACTGACTGGGTCCACAGTGCGGCGAAGGAGTCCCCGAGAGGACAAAGGGCTACTTTACCAGCCATCTAGCAGCAGTTTCAAAGATATTACACGTATGTGCATTTTACTGTTCTTGGTGGCATACACTAACATCTCGCAGGGATACCATGTCCAGGTTACGGCACGATCAGACCGAGACCTTACCCCAGAAGGCATTATCCAGAAGGTCGCTGATGCTTCAGGCTCGAAATACTCAGCAGGAAGTGCCTCAGCTGCCCCCGATGCTGCACCAGCTCCAGCGGTTGCGTCGAAGCCCGTATTCACTCCTACACAGAGCGGCGCCGGTTCGTCCTACAACCCATTGGGAGGCGCGGCCTCAAGAAAGACTGGCCGAGACAGCAATGTGGATGAAGACGGATGGGGCGCAGATGCCCCTCAAGTTAGCAGGTCACAGATCGAAAAAGTGCCATCGGCTTATCAACCAACCAAGGTGAACATGGCCGAACTTACCAAAGAGAAGCAAGACCCTTCGAGATTCAACAATGCCCCACAACAGGCCGATGCCGACTCCGGCGATGTGGTGAAGGGCGGATACCAGCCAATTGGAAAGGTTGACATTGCCGCAATCCGCGCCAAGGCTAAGAAGGTCGAGGATGACCGCCCCACAACCGTTAAAGGCGCCTACGAGCCAGTTGGCAAGGTTGACATAGCTGCCATAAGGGCAAAGGCCCAGAAGCCTACCGATGAGCCTTCGCGCCATACTCCACCCGCACCTGTGAAGCCATCTGCTACTACTGAAGAAAGCGATGAAGCCAAGTCCTTGGCAGACCGCTCCTCCGCCTTCCAGCAGTCGGAGCGTTTGACGTCGCTCCCAAAGCCCAAAGTAGCTAACAAGCTACCTTCAAATTTTGCAGGCACGAAAGCGCCAACACCAGGAACTTTTGGTTTGCACTCGGCGGTGACTAATGCTGCTGCTGCCCCCGCCCCAGTCGGCGTCGCAAGTCGAACATTTGCGGATGAGGGCGGCAAGACCCCAGCTCAAATATGGGCAGAAAAGAAGGCCAAGGAGCGCGGCACTAGCGGCGCAACAGAAACCCATACCCCTGCTGAGCCTGTTACCAGTCAATCCAGCGGTGGTGGGGAATGGAAGAGCGGATATAAGGGGAAGTCATGGGCACCGGTTGCTATCGCCACCACAACCACTGGCAAATCGGCAACTAACGACTTGGATCAGCAACGAACTGGCGAGCAAGAACATGACCACGCCCGAGACGAAGAGGAGGCGCCATGGGCTCCGGCTGGAGGCATTGGCGCACTTAAGGATAGGTTCAAGGGCGCGGCACCAATGGGTGTTCCGGCAAATGAAGAGAGAGATGCTTCTCCACCACCTGTTCCATCTGCGGCTAGGCCCACCGGAGGTGTATCCATGCCTGGCTTGCCATGTAGGCCAGCCGCCGCCGAGGAAGACGAAGATGATAGGGGCCGCCTCCCCTCGCCGCCACGCGTGGCACGCAGCCCAACACCACCAACCCCTGAACGGGACGAGTCACCTGTGAGAATTGCCATGCCCGTCTCGCGAGGCAGCGAACCACATATCGAGGCCCCAGAGGAGCGTCATCACGCACCCTCTATGCCAGTACGCTCGCTCGAGAAAGAAGTTCCTCGTGAATCGGAACTGCCAGACGAACCCAAGGGCCAAGATCCAGCCCGTGCCGCTAGTGCTGCTCTCGCTGGAGCTGCATTTGGCGGAGCTGCCGTCACCGCAGGCCAGAGCGCCCAACAAGGCGGGAAGCGCGCCATTGCACAGTACGACTATGAGAAGGCAGAGGACAACGAGATTGAGCTGCTGGAAGGCGAATATGTCACCGAAATCGACATGGTGGATGATGATTGGTGGATGGGTACAAACTCCAAGGGCGAGAGCGGATTGTTCCCTAGCAACTACGTTGAGCTAGTCGAGGACGACGAGCCTGCTCCAGCTGCTCCTTCAAGGCCATCCGCTCCTAAGGAGACAAAGGCACCAGCTGCGCCAGCTGCACCTGCGGCTCCAGAGCCAACTAGCTCAGGACCTACTGCCACTGCCATTTACGATTATGAGGCTGCCGAGGACAACGAGTTGAGCTTCAAAGAGGATGCTAAGATTACGGACTTGGTGAGCATTAATGATCTGTTGTCGTTGACACTACTAACGCGTTTTAGGAATTTCCCGATGAAGATTGGTGGTTTGGCCACCTTAACGGGAAGTCCGGACTTTTCCCTTCAAACTATGTACAGCTTGACGAGAAGTGAAAGATCCTGTTTGAGTCGGTGTAGCTGGCCAAAAAGATTCTATAGATCCATTTTGTCATTATCCACTGGAAAAGTGTTTACTGGATTTGCACGTGATAATGCCTATATTTATTGGACAAAGTTATATAACTGCTATCCTATGCGAGATTGATGGCTATTGTATGTATATTTTTTATGGATATTCCGTAGTCGTCCCAGGTATATCCAGTGTATTAGATAGTATTATACGGCCCGTCTGTAAGGTGGTCGGTGCGAACACCGACGATTAGGCCATACCTTATTCCGGCCTGCATGTAGAAGCTTTAAGATGCTCTTATGCAATAATGCCAAACACTTCTGCTTTTTAAATAACGTATCGAGGGTTCCGGTTACTACTCCGTTTATCGCTCTGTTGATATAGCTTATTATTTATAGTCCAGACTGCGGACCTCACAGTGGTGACCTACGCAGGGAAGTCTCCCATCAGCACTCACAGTTTGAACCCCGGCCATTGCGTGTTTTTCTACTCGCTTAAAGATTATTATGCCCACTGTTCGGCTAGAGAGAGCCGCTTCCTGTTCTGTTCTGTTGTGCGTGACCAGAAACCCTCAGTTGTTCCTCATGATCCTTGGGTCATTTATGTTCCGCGGGGGATTCGGGGGTTGAGTGTTGAGTAAAATAAATGGCTATACTCCGTACGCGCACACGGGTGTGGATTCATGAACGGTAGAGTAACTCGTCGGTCCGTCCGAGTTTTCACGTGACGCAGTTTTACTAAACCGGGAACACAAGGACTTGGCGGCTAGGAGGCAACCTGCCGGATGTTCGATCGCGAAACCTTGCAAACTGTCCAGCCAAGATTAGGTAAACAGTCGCTGTCGCTTCATAAGTTAACCCGACTGAAGTCTGCCACCACGGCATTGACATCCCTAGAAGACCGAGCCATTCTTTGCTCAAGGCTCGAGCCTCCTTATTGACTTGCGCAGGCGATTAGTCGCATGCGAGACAAGCGTCGTCGTTTGCCAACGCGCTGAACCAGCTTCAATAACCCATCTGGACTCCAACGTCAACAAAGATGGCATCTCTCGGCGAGAACTTGCTTGGGATAGTCAACAAGCTCCAGGATCTAGTCTTCAACACTATCGGCAATGACTCCCTCGACCTCCCACAAATTGTGAGACGCCTCCACTTTGCGACAACCCGGCCGCAAATATTTTCCCCTGCTAACAGCTTTCCCAGGTCGTCGTTGGCTCTCAATCCTCTGGCAAATCATCTGTGTTGGAGAATATCGTAGGAAGGGACTTTTTGCCCCGAGGCAGCGGTATTGTCACTCGAAGACCCCTCATTCTACAACTTATCAACGTCCCAAGCGACAATGACGCACCCGAAGGAAGCGAAGTATATGAACCCCATACCCCCGCCAGTGTCGAGGCACAGGGCGAATGGGGAGAATTCCATCATATCCCAGGGCGCCAGTTCACGAACTTCCAAGATGTGAAACGCGAGATTGAGAATGAGACGGCGAGGATTGCCGGGAACAACAAGGGTATCAACAGATCGCCCATCAATTTGAAGATATACTCGCCACATGTGCTGAGCTTGACTCTTGTTGATCTCCCAGGTCTCACCAAGGTAAGAGCAATGCGAGGCCCTCTGCGGGGTCAGGAGCTGACGTGAGTGACTAGGTACCTATTGGCGACCAACCCAGCGACATCGAGAAGCAAACACGAAACCTCATCTCCGAGTATATCGCGAAGCCAAACAGCATCATCCTTGCTGTCTCTCCTGCGAATGTTGATATTGTTAACTCCGAGGCCTTGAAACTGGCGAGACATGTCGACCCCCTCGGCCGAAGAACTATTGGTGTTCTTACAAAGATTGACCTCATGGACCATGGAACGAATGCGTTGGATATCTTGTCAGGACGAGTATACCCGCTCAAGCTTGGCTTTATTGGAGTTGTGAACCGATCGCAACAGGATATCCAGGGGAACAAGACCCTCGCAGAGGCCCTGAAGTCCGAGTCCGACTTCTTCAGGCACCACCCGGCATACAGAAATATGGCGAACAGATGCGGCACACAATTCCTAGCCAAGAGCCTCAATACGACGTTGATGTCTCACATTCGTGAGCGTCTTCCCGATATCAAGGCCAGACTTAACACACTCATGGGCCAAACCCAGCAAGAACTAGCAAGTTATGGCGATATGCATTTTAACGGCAAGGAGCATAGAGGTTCCTTAATCCTGCAACTCATGACGCGATTTGCGTCCTCATTCATATCGTCTATTGACGGTACGTCGACCGAAATCTCGACCAAGGAGCTTTGCGGTGGAGCCAGGATATATTATATTTTCAACTCTGTTTTCGGAAATTCTCTCGAGACGATAGACCCAACCACGAATTTGTCTGCATTGGATATCCGAACCGCTATTAGAAACTCTACGGGACCAAGGCCTAGCCTATTCGTCCCTGAGCTCGCATTTGACCTCCTCGTCAAGCCCCAGATCAAGCTGTTGGAAATTCCCAGCCAACGTTGCGTCGAGCTTGTATATGAAGAACTCATCAAGATTTGCCATACATGCGGCTCTACGGAGCTGACCCGCTTCCCCAGGTTACAAGGAAAGCTTATTGAGGTTGTGTCGGACCTGCTCCGCGAGCGCTTAGGCCCAGCATCAAACTATGTCGAATCTCTTATCTCTATCCAACGAGCATATATTAACACCAACCACCCGAACTTCCTCGGCGCGGCGGCAGCCATGAGCCATGTCGTCACCAAGAAGCAGGAGAACGAGAAGAAGAAGCTTCTCCAAGAGGAGCGCGAGAGGCGCGAGAAAAGACGCCAAAAGGAGCTTGGCGCTGCAAATGGGGTTGACGGCGCCGAGGACGAAGACGAGGTCTCCGAGAAAGCTGAGGGCCTGCCCCACCGCTCAAAGATGCACAAGTCCGGACGCAGCACCTCGCCCCACGTCCGCCAGAACGGCACCTCCGCCAGCATCGCTGAGCGCATCAATGGACAGCGCGCCAGCTCGCCGACACGATTCGGTACGCAGGCTAACCCGAAGGATTCTTTCCTCAACTACTTCTTTGGCAAGGACGGTGCTCCGGGCGGTGGACCGGGTGTTGGACAAGCTGCGTCGTCGGCGCAGAATCCAAATCTCGGCCGCCACGTCAGCCAGAGCACTGAGCCGAGCATTACGCAGAGCATCAGGAGGCAGGAAGAGCGGAACACACACCGCAGCCCAGCTCAGCAGACGCGCGATGAAGATTACGCCAGAGAATATGATTATAGTTCCCCATTCGTAAGTCATTATATTTCACAATGGGGCCTCAGGCACTAACATTCCACAGGGCAACAACACCGAGCCAGCGCTCACAGACAGAGAAGCTATGGAAACGGAGCTCATCCGCGCGCTCATCTCGTCCTACTTCGACATCGTGCGCGAGTCCATCGCCGACCAAGTCCCCAAGGCCGTGATGCACCTCCTAGTCAACCACTCCAAGGACGTCGTCCAGAACCGCTTAGTCAGCGAGCTGTACCGCGAGGACATGTTCGAGGAGCTCCTCTACGAAGACGACGCCGTCAAGAAGGAGCGCGAAAAGTGCGAGAGACTGCTCAAGACTTATCGCGAGGCGGCGAAGATCGTCGGCGAGGTCTTGTAAGGCTAGATATTGTGTGAGGATATGTGTGTAGGTATCGGCGTAAAGGGCTAGTCTTGCATCCATTGTTATGTTTATGGTGGATATGTTTTTATACGGCGCAACAGACGCAGCTCTGTAGAATAGTGTATCCTATTTTGGGTTCATCATTCTTTGTTCGTTTGGAATTATGCGTGTCTCTAGAGGAGGCTGTATACTTCTGCTTTTTGAACTATAGTAGTGAATATCCTGTACTTTGGGCTCATTCAGGGACGGCATGGTTTCTCGTGCTATGTTTCATTGACTCGTGTATATATATTGTGACATGCAAATAAGTTTCATATGATGGAGATAATTTGGGTGTTTATTATATTTCTGACGCCAGAAAATATACACAAATAAAATTTATTATAATCTATCATTATTAGGGAGGGTAACGTACATGTATAGCGAAAGTGTAATGGTGGGTGCACCAGATGTGAGAATCCAGTGTTCGGCACGGATACCAATATACCCGTGGTATCCGGGTATATCCTCGAGTATATACCTACCCGGCGATATTTTAGGAGTATCCGGATACGCCGGATACTCTCGAGTATATATCCGGATACATGCCAAGAATAGCCAAGCGCAGCCAAGACCTCTTTTTTCCAACGTCGTGAGATCTATATTGATGCTGTATAAAGTGATAATTATCCTCAGAATGAGCAACTCGTCGTTATCAGATATACCAACGGAGCCTGAGGGCTATAATAGCTATGATACTCATAATGAGCCAAGTCTGCCAACGCTGCCGCCCCCTATTCATATTCAACAGGATATTAATCCTACACCGCTCCGGCTTCAGCCTCCAGGACGAATGCTGCCACCAACGTCGTCGGTACTATTTACGAAGCTATTATATTCGCGATTGATACTTGATAGTAACCCACCTACAGTCAAAGTAACTTGCTTACAACCAGGCTGCGGATATTCACCTACTCCGCAGCTATTAAGTCAGACTTCAACCGGTAATCTTTGGAAGCACTATACGCAGAAGCATCCAACAGTAGCATATACAATGAAAGGTCATACAATTACGCCGTCAAGCCCATCAAGTAGTGCATCGTCATTTTTTGAGCCACGGCCGCGGAATCCGCAAGTCCAGCCCGCTCAAGCTCAAGCATCAAATAGTAGAGCGAAATACCGAGAGTTATTACTCTCATTCGTTGTATCAAATAACCTCTCCTTACGACTTATTGAGAGCTATTCGTTCCATCAATTAGTACAGTTCTTAAGCCCAAGTACTCTATCGATATCGTCGCGAACACTACACTGAGAGCTACAGCGGCAATTCTCATATCACCGAGGATTGCTACAATTAGAACTCCAGGCTCATATTACCTATGGCGGCCGGATATCTATTACAACAGATGCATGGACTGCATGGAACTATACAGAGTACGCTGCTGTCACAGGCCATTGGATTAATGAGAAGTGGCAGCACCGGTGCGTATTACTTGATGTAATCCACCTTCAAGAGCCAATTCATAGCGGCGAATATCTCGCTCAAGAGTTAGCTGCAGTAACAGATAGCTTCGAAATTACAGGTGCTATATTTACTTGTACGCGGGATAATGCCTCAGCGAATACTGTGATGCTTTCAGAATATGAGAAAATAGCCAGTAAGCAGCAGACGACTATTCAACAGCCATGGACGTTTACTGTAAAGGAAGGGGACGTTCGGTGTATTGCTCATATTATCAATCTTGCAGTTCAAGCTACTCTAAAGAGCTTGAAAGCTAGCCCGGATACAGAAACAGAAGCGTACTGGTGTCAGCAAGGGCTTGCCCGGATTCCGCAGCGTATTGATAACTCTTCTACTGAAGTATCAGCTACGCTTGAGAAGCTCCGAAGGCATATTTATGTCTTTCGAAACCGAAGAGCATGGAAGGATGCTTTACAGAAGCAGATACAAGCTGCAGGCCAGAAGCCACGCCAGCTATCACTTGATATGCCTATACGCTGGAATTCAACGTACTATATGCTTGAAACAGCTATAAAGCTTCGAATACCAATTACTGCAGTATGCTCTACGCAGAAGCTTGATATCAGTATGAAGGATATTGCGTTAACAAGCAACGATTGGGCTATTATCGAAGCTCTTGAACGATTATTCTTAGTATTCTTAAAGCCGTCAAGACGGCTACAAAGCGATTCATATCCAACGCTCAACTTTACAATTCCTCTTTACTTAAAGATGATAAATAAGGTCACATTACTACAAGAAGAGCTTGGTAGAAGCTCTACGATCGGAGTAGCTTGTGGAGCTGCGCTTCAAAAGCTTAATGAGTATTATACTCTTACAACGAATCGGCAATGTAAGCACTCAGCTGTTGCTACAATTTGCGACCCACGAATGAATCATACAGTATTTAAGAAGATATATCCAAATGCTATAGACGATACACGAAGATTACGAGCAAGAGCGCAGTTCGAAGACGTTTGTAGAACGTACCAAAAGCGAGAGTATCACCTTGATACGGAGCGAATTACTCACGAAACAGCTCTTGCAGAAGCAATAGGTGCTACTGCTACAATAGATCAAGAACCTGATTCTGACGAAGATCTATTTGCGTCAGAAGGCTTGGCTTTTCAAGAGCCAGAATGGAGGGCGCTGGATGCTTGAACCACGGCCCGGTGAGCATACTGATATTCTCAAATATTGGTGCGCAAAGCAATACCAATATCCAGTTATTGCCCGTATTGCTCGTGATCATCTAGCTATTCCAGCAACATCTGCAGCATCGGAACGAGTATTTAGTAATGGTAGTGATATTATTACAAAGAAGCGGAATAGGTTATCACCGCCAACTATTAGATATTTACTTTGCTTACGGAATTGGGGTAAAATACGGGAGGCTGATAGCGACGGCGATGATGCTGACGATGAAGCACCTGAATAGGGACTCGCAGAAAGGGGGGGTCTCACGGAAAGGGGGCTCATGGAAAGGGGTTTACTACTATTATCAAAAGCTTCATTCTTTTTTATATACGCTATTCTATTTTTATATACAATATTCAGCCTCATGTATCCGGATATATACCCTACCCTACCCGTCAGATCGTCGCCGGGTATATACCCTACCCGTGAGCTTCACGGATACTACCCGGATATGTATCCGCCAAACACTGTGAGAATCTAGCCACCCAAGGGAAGGGATGATTTTACTAAGACAACACACTGTCTTAGGAAACAGAGCCAAAGGGTTGTAGCTTAGACTATTCCACAACGCAGCAATCAGGTGTGTGATGTAGTGAAGTGGTTCAGACAAGTTGCAACAAATGTTGAGTCTGGGAACTCAGGGGTAAGTCAGAGGTTAACACCTCACTGACTTTTCAGAAACAAGGAGTAACAAGATGAATGCTTGGAAGCTTGGAAAAGACGTGGAAGTATGTGATAGTCGATTTACTGTATTGTCTGCTTGCCCTTTCTTAAGGAAAGGGCAATCCTATTTATGCTAAAGGAGTGTAGTTCTCTCATTTTCCAAGACTTTCCATGACTTACCAGGCTTGGTAACTGTAGTCGACGTAAGAGAATCCCATAGAACCATCTCTTAGGTTTTTAGCCTATAGGAAGTGAAAGGAGGTCCAAGGTCAGAGTACCCCTATAGACAAATTATGTCATAACTTAACCAATCTTGTGGGTAACTAAGGAGCGATGACGTGTAATGAATCATAGAGTGTTGTAGAAGCTTTTGGAGCTATCGTTAATGTTCCTAGGCCTCTAGTTGATAGAGATATGTCATGTGTACCAGTAAGTAAGGAGTGATGTCATGTAATGAATCATAGAGGGTTGTAGAGATATGCTATGTGGTAATATCGGCCCAGTAACTAAGGAGCGATGAGGTGTAATGAATCATAGAGGGTTGTAGCAATCGTTGAGTAGTATTGCTCTTGTTGTTGGTGTGATAAGCCAAAATATGTATAGTGACTTGTAGGTTTGAGGAGGAGATTTCTAAGTTTGCTCTTGAGTTTGATAGCAAACTGAGTGCAACGAATGTCAGTATGACAAGGAGGAAGAGCCGGTCGCGGTCTCGTGTCAGGGGGCGCCCTAGTGTAGTGTCCCTAGCAGCCTGAGGCCGCTATGAGGCCGTAGAGTGACGTGCGGCCCCGACCCGCCACCGGACCGGAGGCGATCCGACGCCAAGTCGGTAGATAAGGTAGCTGAGCCCCCGTCAGGGAGGGCTGAGAGATTAGTCTGTTGAATACTATACTGTTTGCTCCAACCTAGGGTCATAGCACGCTGCCTACCTAAACCCTTACAATATGGGCCTTGGCAATACAATATGGCCTTACGCTACATGACTGTAATACAATACGGCAATATTGTAAGGATGCCTCCACCCTGCCTCCACCCTGCCTCCGCCCTCAGTGACAGAAGGGATCTGAGTCGGATGGGTTACGGTCACATGGGGAGAGTTAGGACCGGTTAGCCGAGTCGGACTCGTTTCGGGTACTTAAGGGGATTGACCCAACGGGGTTCTCATCATCTGTTTTGTTATCCTTCGTAGTAGACCTATAGGATAGCATCCGTTTAGCCTCTGACTCACACTCTCATATGCTATTACTGTGAGCTGGGTGCCCTGTGTCCTTACAAATATCATATGGTAATATATGGCAATATATTGCCAAGACTGTAATGGTGGGTGCACCAGATGTGAGAATCTAGCCACCCAAGGAAGGGATGAATTTACTAAGACAACACACTGTCTTAGGAAACAGAGCCAAAGGGCTGTAGCTTAGACATTCCACAACGCAGCAATCAGGTGTGTGATGTAGTGAAGTGGTTCAGACAAGTTGCAACAAATGTTGAGTCTGGGAACTCAGGGGTAAGTCAGAGGTTAACACCTCACTGACTTTTCAGAAACAAGGAGTAACAAGATGAATGCTTGGAAGCTTGTAAAAGACGGAGAAGTATGTGATAGTCGATTTACTGTATTGCCTGCTTGCCCTTTCTTATGGAAAGGGCAATCCTATTTATGCCAAAGGAGTGTAGTTCTCTCATTTTCCAAGACTTTCCATGACTAACCACGCTTGGTAAATGTATTAGAAATCAAGTGCGACCCACAACTAGCTTGCTAATCATGTAGTGAACGTAAGAGAATCCCATAGAACCATCTCTTGGGTTCCTAGCCTATAGGAAGTGAAAAGGAGGTCCAAGGTCAGAGTACCTATAGATAAATTATGTCATAACTTAACCAATCTTGTGGGTAACTAAGGAGCGATGACGTGTAATGAATCATAGAGGGTTGTAGAAGCTTCTAGAGCTATCGTTCATGTTCCTAGGCCTCTAGTTGGTAGAGATATGCCATGTGGTAGTATTGGCCCACCCCCTTAAGGAGGAGATTTTCTTAATAACTTGTTCAATGAGTGTTC